TTTAACTTGATTTGATCACAGTAGGAAAATTTTGCTTTCATTTTAGTCATGTACTTGGTAGCGTACTTGATTGCATCAATGTAAACCCCAGCGCACACATGGTGTTTAAACCATGCCTTGCGTGATGCGCAGAACATGTGCGCACTAACAAAAGTAGGCCAATGTTGCGCGTTGCGTGACCAAGGAGATGGCTTCGTGATTTTCACTTATGTTTGCTTACGGATAGCTTTTATTTGTTGGAAGGGCCAAAGACAATATGATGCAATTCTTTTTAAAACAAGTAAAGCTAAGTGCAAGGAAACAGTGAACCTGACGTTCGCTGTTGGGCAATCTCTTCAGAGCTCTGCAAAATAATCTTAACCTTGCCGGATCCTAATCTAAAACCGGACTGGAGAACTAAGCCTATAATTTATAAAACCAGTTATTATGCACTGTGGTAAAATAAACTACCAATATCATAACGCGTACCTGCTCCAAGAGAAGAGCTTTCTTCCCTCTTGAGGCGAGGTATCGGGCTGTTGAGCTTCCCTCCACACCAGCACCTATAACACATACATCGAATACATCTCCAGCACTTGCCATGTTAACTCACTTGTAGTCAGTACTCCAGGTATGATCCCATGAAATGTTCTCAATGCTTCACATTCACAAGCGGCAGTGACAGGTGGCGGATAGCGGGTGATCAAAATACAAACCACTCAATTTTAATATCAATTGGCTATAATAATCAAAGACGATTTCGATACAGATACATTACAAAATTTACGGTCAGTGTAAAACGAAGACTGCGGACTCCAGACTGCGGACCGGGGATAAAATGCAGACTGAGGGTAAAATGCAGACTGCAGACTACTTTCTACCACATTAAGAGTTAACCGGCGTAAACAGGCTAACCGCCTGGGGAAAATCCCATATAAATAGGACGGGGGTGCTCGCCGTACATGTTAGGGCTTAAAAAGGGCGGTTTTGGTACCTCTTAGGAGCCTCAAAAGGTCCACAGTGGAAGCTTTTGTGGTACCTTTTAGGGTATTGAGCCCAAAAAATATGACACGAGATAATGTGTTGTTTTACAACTGTTTAGAATTGGTACCTCTTCCAGGGGTGAAAAGAATTTCAGGTCATTAATAAGTGTCACACATGGCCATTTATCGATTTAAATATTTCGTCCTCATTTATCCCTTTTAATTTCTTATTATATTTATTGACATTCTTAAAGTTGTTATCACTTTGTTGCGATGGGCAGACTGTTGTCTTTATTCGGTAATGGCCATCACAGATTTCCTTTTTTTTTTTTCTATTTTTGCAATTAAGTTCCTTCAGTTATATGATGCCATGCGGATATTTGACGCCTTCATTCTTAGTATACGTTTCCTTCTTCGATTTCATATTGCACAATCGTTACATTTGGCCATTTCTGATTTCTAAAA